GGGCATTCCTCAAAATAAACTGATCTTCATGACTTAATTAGGTCTGAGATTCATGTTGCTTTCATTCTCATTTACAAATGTATGATTTATTAAAACTAATATTATGAACAGATCCAACAATCGGTGAAAGGGAAATGTAGTCTAAACTAATGAAAAACAAATCACTCAAGATACAGATGCCATAGGGACTATGTATTAATTATTACAATCCTTGAGAAATAAAATTGATAGAGACTGCAAAACAGAAATTAAATTACAGTTCTGATTTGAACAACTACAGGGGATACAAAATAATTATTACAGTATCAGTCAATGACAGAAGAATTCAAAGTCCAACTCCTAAGAAGAAAGGGGAAAAATATATGGGAAAATCACCAAGTCAGTGTTAAATGATGTGAAATGCAAGTTGGTAAACTGACTTTCAGATAGCACAATAGTGTTACCACAATGCCCAAAACAGTTGGTCTGTCAATTGAAATATATCATGCAGAAGCCAAACCTCTCAATTTAAATGACAGTAAAGAATCAGACTATATGTAGCAATGGCTAATACAATAGAAAATTCAACTGAAGAAGAAATAATAGACATACATTAATATAAACCTACTATATTTTCTTAAATACCTTGCAAGACTTACCTTACACTACAGCATTGAAAAAAATTATTAATGTTGGCTAGCTTGTGGGGCAAAAGAAAACATCGGATACATTTAAAAAAAATGTATTCTATATACAAATTATATGTTAGGTAGCATAGCTGCCCCACTCTCTTTTCCTGTTACTTGTTGCCATGGAACAGAATATGGTTTTGGATAGGCACCAAAACCATTGTTCTGTATGTACAGGGCATGGCATAAATCATAGAAAACTAGGGTTGGAAGGGATCTTGCGAGATCATTTAGTTTAACCCCCTGCTCAAAGCAGTATCATTCCCAACTAGATCTTTCCAGCCAGGGCTTTGTTGAGTAAGGCCTTATAAACCTCCAAGGATGGAGAGTCCACCACCTTTCTAGGTAACCCATTTTAGTGCTTAATCATCCTCCTAGTGAGAAAGTTCCTCTTGATATCCAACCTAAACTTCCTTTGCTCCAACTTGAGACTATTGCTTTTTGTTCTGTCATCTGCCACCACTGAGAAAAGTCTAGCTCCATCTACTTTGCAACCACCATTCAGGTAGTTAAATGCTGCTGTCAAATCCCCCTCTGCCCCCCACATACCAAATATAAATAACTGTTACAGAGCTGTCCGAAAAATGCTTGGCTTTATTACATCCTTCATATTCACATGGTCACTCACTCACTGTGGCTTCAGCTATGACTAAATACTTCCAGTTTTCCCAAGATCATGGGCTTCATATATACCAAGTAACTCCACTGGGACCAAAGAGTTAAAATTTAGAATAAAGGGAAAGCAGGTAGAGTTAAAACTTGGAATGCTACATCTCTCTTGTGTTCCCCATTCCTATTGTCACATGGTAACATTTATAAGTTTAGTTATGGTCCACTCAAACACTGTAGGTTCAAAAGTTTAGCTTATTTGATGTTGGGTTCCTAGTCCAATTAAGATGATGTTTGGGAAGAAAAAGACATAAAAAAGAAACAAAATATAATACTAAAATAAATGCAATACTGCCAGACCCTCAGCTGATATAATCTGATGTAGCTCTACTAAAATAAAAAGAACCATAAGGACAGCTACCAGCTGAGGGTTGAACCAATTATCTGATCTACAGGCCATGTGTAACCTAATTTTTTATGGAAAGGTGTCCCCCTCCTCCCTTTTTTTCCCATCCCTGACATAAAGCACAGACTCCCCTTTTCAGATAAAAACCTAAAAAAAAAACCAGCCAATAAAATAAGTGGTTTAATTTACAAGAAAAAAAAATATTTTGCAAACTTGTTTTGCTTAAAATGGAAATTAAAAATAAAACAGAGCTCACCAAAATCTCAGGCCTGACTGGTAATTTTTACTTATATGGAAGCATTGGGCCCTTAGCACCCTTTAAATCTGCTTAATACTGGACAGATTTTCTGACACTTCCCAGTTACTAAGTTGGGTCCAACTCAACCTTGGAACATCCCTTTATAGCACTCTCAGGAGATCCAGTAACTTCAGTTGTCATTACAATTCTCTCAACCCTGTTATGAAACACCATATAAATAATCTGTCTGGACATCTGCTGTCAATTATATATGTTATTTTTCTGAAATAGGTCAGGAGACAGACACGGGAAGGTGAGGGAAAACAACTTTACTTTCAAAAGGCAGAAGATGCAATTAGGACAAAAAGTAATGCTAAATCAGCACTGCAATGCTGATTTAAAGCAGGGCTGGGCTTTTTAATAAAGATATTACAAGTCTTAAACTGTCTATACATCAACAGAGGTTTACAGAACTGACATACCAAAATATGTCAAATACCAAAAGGAGGAATATGGCTGTTGGCGAAGGATCTGGGAATGATCTACAAATAAAAGTTAATTACTCCTGATAACCCAAATACAAATATCAACTTATTTAAAATTACTGTGGTATATGATTTTTTTAGAGGCTATACCCAAGATACCTACAGTAAACTGCAACTATGAGTAGAAATTAAGATTAGATTCACTCTGGAATATTTTCTCCTGGAACACACTTCTCAGTATATTTGTAATAATTTAAATCTGTTTAAATTGTTCTTAACTGATACCATTATCTCTATTTTTCCCTATAGCTTTTAAACTATACATCTGTGTTTAGCTGGGTCCCTCCCCTATCCATTCCCACTATGTGAGTCACTACTGGTTGCTGGCGTTTCCCTCCCTGCTCCTCCCCAATCTGAAATACATTTATTATATTGTGGTAACAGCCTTCTTCAAACACCAACTTGCATTTTCCTCTTCCCAGTAGTTTATTATTATTATTATTGGCTTTCCCCCTCCTAAATTCAATCCCAGCGTTAGTTCATTGAATTCAAGGACCTCTTCCCCACCCCTGCTTAGTCTCAGATTCTCAGTCATTGCCTCCTGCTCAGTAGTAAGCAGGTTCAAGATGACAGTTCTTGTGGTTGCATTTTATAACTCAAGCTTTCCTTTAACTCTGGATCTTTGATTTAACTTGGGATGAATGTTTGGCTCTAATGAATAGCTAGAAAGTATCTGGTTAGTGAAGTGCCCCATGAGTCCAGTATCCTGTCACTTCAATTTCCTTGAGAAATGCCCTATTAATATATCATTAATGGTCTTGCAGCAGTTTGGCATGGTTTGTTGAACATGTTCATAGGACCTGGGTACAGTTGCTGGGTGTTTCTTTATACACTTCTTTATCATCATCATCATCCCATTTACCTGGAATTCTAGAGCTAGCCATTTATTTCCCTTATGTTTATCCAATCATTTCTCTTGAGAGCTACCCTTCCCAAGGACTCTGGCTCATTATAAACCCCTGCATGCATTCCTTCCCTTCGCAGCCTTCTGTGAATGGCTGAGTTTGTGGCTGCTCCGAGTAGTAATAATATATAATATAGTAATAATATAATAATATTATTATTAAAAGGGGGGGGACTCAGGTGCGGGTCAACCTTGATTTGAGCTCCCCCATGTTTTATTTTGCCCTTAAAAAAAAAAAAAAAAAAAAAAAATCACATCTCGCTACATTGTCTCTGGAAAAGCAACAGTCACAGCGCTGCACTGGGAAATGTCAAAGGAAACAGTTTCAAGTCTCTACGAAGCTGCCTCCCCACCCCCAATCTTTTGATCGCCAAGGTCTCAGCGGGTCCTGGCGGACCGGT